CTTCAGGAGAGCACACCGCACACACACACACCTTCTTCAGGAGAGCACACCGCACGCACGGCATACCTTCAGGAGAGCACACCACACGCATGGCATACCTTCAGGAGGCACACCACACACACACCTTCTTCAGGAGAGCACACTGCACACACGGCATACCTTCAGGAGAGCACACTGCACACACGGCATACCTTCAGGAGAGCACACTGCACACACGGCATACCTTCAGGAGAGCACACCACACGCATGGCATACCTTCAGGAGAGCACACCACACACACACCTTCTTCAGGAGAGCACACCGCACAGCACACCTTCTTCAGGAGAGCACACCGCACAGCACACCTTCTTCAGGAGAGCACACCACACGCATGGCATACCTTCAGGAGAGCACACCACACACACACCTTCTTCAGGAGAGCACACCGCACGCACGGCATACCTTCAGGAGAGCACACGGCAGGAAGCTCGGCGAGGATGACCAAGGCAGCGGTGACCAGTCTACTTCCTTCCTCCGACAGGGTCTGTGGCCTCGCAGTTTGTACTCTTGGGCTACCCGTCAACTTCGGGTTGAGTTCCGGGAGCTGTCTAACGAGGATGCAGACACACAGCTCCAGGGTTGCAAAGACCAACGACTTCCCAGGTACAAGTCCTCCCGTGTCCTTCCCTTCACCGAACTCTGGCAGGGTCTCCTTTTCAGAGGCGCCATCGTCCACTGAAAGACAGGGGACAATGCTGGAGCATGCCGCTTGTGGGGGGTCAAGTAGACGGCACTGCGACTCGTTTCTAGAAGGCCATGCATTAGTGGCTCAAGTGTCGGCTGTGAAGAGCTGACGGAAAATCAGTTCTCAAGTTAAAGGTGGCTGTCTTTACTATGATTTCCCATGCAATGGATAAACCAAACCAAAACAACCCTATAATCCATTCAGCCTTAAATCTGTGCTGGTTAAACTTATCTCCTTGCCGTTGCAGATGAGCACCCGACAGCAGTAGCTCTGACGGCGACTGTCACCTTACAGGCTGACAGTGGCTGGGCCCTAAGATCAGAAGCCAGGTCCCTGATGCATCAGAAACTGCACCCCCGCCCCAACTCTGCCCCTTTACTTCTTACGTACACATGCTCCATCTGCCCTAGTTAGAAAAGTACCAAGACGGCCCAGCCACCCTGAGCAGCGCTCCAAAACAAGGATGCACGCAGCCTGCTCGGTGTGCAGCGGACAGCGCTTGAGCACGGAGAAGTCCCGCTGATTTGGTCTCCAGAACCGGGGTAAGGAGCCGCTACACCATTAGGAGTTCACACCCACCTTCCGCGCTCCGCCTCCTCTCCTTCACGTGTTCCTGGGCCGCACAGATAATCTGCCTCACCACTTCCAGGGAAGCCAGCTGAACGGCAGGCGACTCTCTGGTCAAAATTACTCGGTGTAGGACGTTCAGCAATTCAATACCCAAGTCCTGTCAGAAAACACGGAGTGGACACTATTGGAAATTACACTCGTGTGTGTCAAAATAACAATGCTAAATGCCATGACAAATTCAGAAAAGGAGAATTTAATAAATTCTTTTTTAAAAATAAATTTTTGCTGGGCGGTGGTGGCGCACACCTTTAATCCCAGCACTCCGGAGGCAGAGCCAGGAGGATCTCTGTGAGTTCGAGGCCAGCCTGGTCTACAGCGCTAGATCCAGGAAGGGCACAAAGCTACACAGAGAAACCCTGTCTCAAAAAAAAAAAAAATTTTTTTTTTTTTGGCTAGAGCAATAATGGTAGATATCAACACTTCTTTTGTTGGTTTTGAGACAGTCTTAGTAGCCTTGCCTGGCCTTAAACTTGTCAAGGATGACCTTGAACTCCTGATCCTCCCGCCTCTGCCCCACAATGCTGGAGTTTCAGGTGTGTATCATCATGCTTGGCTTGTAACATTTTAACCAATTCCAGAACATTTCTTGGCTCATTTTGGTGGGAGATGGTACTATGACAAGAGATCATTTTCATCCAAATTCTAAAATGATATTGGAGACAGAGCCAAAAAAGCAGGAAGGCTGACAGGTGGACTCTATGACTAATACTCAAGTCTCCTGTAACGATGAAGGAAGAAGGAGAAGTAATACTAAGTAGATCTTTAAAGTACCCCGGAAAACCCCTACTCCATTTCCCTTTCCTTTCTCTAGGATTTTATTTATTTTCATTTTGTGTGTATGAATATTTCACCTGTACGGTGTTGGAGGTCAGAAGGGGCCATCAGATCCCCGGAAACTGAGTTACAGGTGGTTGTGAGCCCCCATGTGGGTTCTGGGGACTGAACCTGGGTCCTCTGCCCTTAACCACTGAGCCACCTCTCCCGCTGCCTCCCTTCTCTTCTCATTGGTCATTCTGGTTGCTTTCTTTCTTTGGGGGCTGGAGAGATGGCTTAGGGGTTAAAAGCACTTGTCACTGCAGAGGACCTGGATTCTGTTCCCAGCACTCACAACCAAACCCCTAGCTCCAGGAGTTACCTCTGAGGGCTCCCTCCCTCATGGATATGCAAATACATCCACCATACACACAAGAATGCACACAGAAAACAGCCAGGTGTAGAGGCACATGCCTTTCAGAGGCAGAGGCAGGTGCATCTCTGAGTTCGAGGCCAGCCTGGTCTACAGAGTGAGTTCCAGGTCAGCCAGGGCTACACAGAGAAACCCTATCTTGAAAAAAACCACCTCCCACCGAAAAAAGAAAAAGGAAATAATCACAACACAGTTTATAATTTAGTTAAGGTCAATTCAACTCAGATAAAACCCCAACTAATGCTTTAAGCCTAATTAGTGATAATAATAATTAAATAAGAGCTTAGAAAATCACAGAACCCATTGACCTTAAAACCGAGTCAGAGCCGGGTGGTGGTGGCGCACGCCTTTAATCCCAGCACTCGGGAGGCAGAGCCAGGCGGATCTCTGTGAGTTCGAGGCCAGCCTGGGCTACCAAGTGAGT